CGGGCACATGACCAGCGCTAGGGTCCACTAACCCTAGTAAGCCTCAAAACATCCAAATAATAAAACCCAACAATATATATAAACTATGATTCGCTATCTTAATACACGAAAACTAAGATCTGTTTGAGAGTTCAAGAGAGCTACTTCTAAAATACAAGGGATAGATACAAAAGGAAATATGCCCATACATCGACAAAGCTGCAACTGCCTAACTCTGACTCTGGCACACTAACCGAGATAGGAACAACAAGTTAGATCTGAAAAATTATAAATGGTAAGTCACGAGACTTAGTGAGCACAGACGATACCTAAACTATACATGCTAGAGTATGCAACGTGTCTCAATCAAATACCACACATACACAAGTAATCCCAGTGAGCAGTAATATGTAAAATAAGCATATGAAGTATCACATAACCAAACCATCATATCACATCCACTGGGCCAAAATTCTCCCCACACGCTATAGCAGCACATCGCACATAGGTGTGAGTCCTCGGTATCCCAAAAATCGTCCCGACACGGAAATCAAGGCACTCCCCGTACATTACGGCCCACCGTCTGTCGGCTAAGCTGCCATCCCAGACACGTCATCGATGTGCACATCATACTTGTGGCCCCTGCCGCCTCAACAAGGACTCAGGTTGACTCACCACTGGACACTACGGGTCACCATACGTCTAGCCGAACTCCTTTCGTCCCAAATCACATCACGTGATACCATCCTCACACACAAATCATAAACAGGTATACATATGCATATACAGTTCACACTTCAAATCTCATAACAACATCTCAATATAGTTCACCGACAGTACACAAGGACACATAACATAGTCCATATACAGTTAAGAAGTCACATAATCCATGCCAATAAAACAGTATGGAAACACAAGTATAGAAAAAGCATCATCACTCATAGTACAAAAGTAGGGTCAAGAAAGAAGTCCCGGTCACCCTCACCGTCTCATCAGTCTGGGTGTACCTCCTCAGGCGTATCTGAAAAAAATAAAATCACATAGAATCATAACCAACCTCAAACTTGGTATAAGAAACGGGCTCGGTAGCCTTAAATTGGGCTCAAATCCAAAATCGGCAACCTGGCACGCATTTTGAGGCACTAAGACTTGCCACTGAAACCTACGTGACTCTCTACACACAATAAACCAGCTCAGAACCCTCAATCAAAATAGAACCACTCTCCACAGTTTGCGAATCACAGCGAACGGCCTCCAAAACCCTTAAACCTGCTTGACCAAGCTCAAAACTACTTCAAGCTCAACCAGATCGGATACGAAACTCTCAAAATGGATTCAGAAGGCCCAAAAACCCTAAGAACCAGTCTAAACCGGCCAAAAACTCAAACCCTAATCATCAACACGCAAAACGAGGCTGGTTCACCTTGAACCGTACCTCCAAAAATTATCAAACTTCATAGTTATCTAGGTTTCCATGTGCTGAACCAGGAACCGGTCTAACTCTCAAGAACCGGTCTAAAAATCAGTGAACTGGTCAACCGAAGGTCAACACACAAAACGGCCGATTCACCCTTCAAAACCCTAATCCACAAATTCAGGTTTATTTAATTCTCAGTTATCCCCAATCAACCTTATCCCGAGCCCTACTATCCTTAGGGATAGCATATCCCCAATCTTGCTGAGTCAACCCAGACAGGTTGACTCACTCGACCAACACAAGGCCGAGTTGACTCGGCCCAACTCACTGTTTTTTTTTTTTGAGTTGGCCTGCGGCCCAAGCTTGCGGGCCGGCAAGGTCATTATGCTGGGCCTAGCTAAACGGCCTGGACCAGCCCAGCATGGGGGACCCGGACCCCTTCCAGGTCTGTCCTTTCCGCCCGATTGCAAGTCTGGCACCTGCAACCGGTTAAAACCAAAAAGAATCCAAAATCCAGCCAAGAATCTGCCATACCTGAGCCAAAACACCCTCAACACCTCGCTTCACACCAAGCGACCTCCGATCAGCCTTCAATTGGAGTAAAAAGCTGTCAACAAGCTCGAAGAAGCCGCTCGGTCCTTCGTCCTTTCCATCGGCTAGAAAATAGAAAAATTCTTCACTCTTCCTTGCTCAATACTCGAAATTGGTTGAGGGGTTTGGTCGAGCCCTCAAATACACACAAAACGAGCAAAAAAGCTGATCCAATTTCTGCCGAACCCGGTTGTATCAGTGAAACCATCATTCGGTTCACTGTTTTGACAGTTTTTCTGAAAATTCAAATTTCAATCCCTCAACTTCATTGCTTTCACGGATCGCTCCCTAAGAAAATTTTTTATTCAATCCCCTAAATTTCTAATTCCCTCACTTCGCCTCTTAATTGTTAATTTCCTAAATTTGGGTTATTACATTGATAGATTTTATTAAATAGTGAACTTTTATAATATACTTATGTATTTTTAAAATAGTGATTGTAATCAATATCTTTATAGTGTTGGGTTATTTGTATTTTACTATCAAACTTGAAATGACTTTTACACTTGATGTGAAACGAACTCTAATCTTGTTACGGATTCGCCCTTATTTCAAGTAAGTTTTTTATTTTTTCTCCTCAACAACTTTGACTTCAAATTAGCCAACTTCACCTCGTCCTATTTTTTGGCTTTTTCACCAAGCAAGTTATCATGGACAATATTCATAGGGATTTTCTCTTTTGAAACATAATTGCTTTAATTGTAAAAACGAAATTGTCCAAACTTTCAAGTAACAAGCTAATAACTAGCAAGTTTTGCATCTTCCCTTCTATGCCCTTTTTTGTACTCAAACTTTTCCATCAAATTTGTTTTGAACTGAGATATCTTCTTGTTGAATTATAGAATCTAACTTTATCTAAAACTTGTAAATATTAGTATAAGATGTTACATGCTCAGATAAGCTAAGCTCTATCCATGAATTTTTATATAATAATAATAATAATAATTTCTTGATTCAAAATTTCCCATTCCCGTTCACTCTTGTCTTCTAATTTGGATCGGTAGAAAATCGAGTTCATGTAGATGTTTGTACAGGGGATAATCCATTGTTGGCTTCTAATAAAAACAGTTATGCTGTTAATTTGAACGTATCTCTCTCATGCAAACCGGATCGATAAAATGATTTTTGAACTAGCCGAAACACACTCAACCACGCAAAACACATTGAACCGGGCCAAAACACACTGAACGGCCCTAACGCTTGTTTGTTGTTCCTGCCATCCGCCGCGCAACTGCTATGGCTTCATCGGCCGCGGTGGCTGTTCCTTCGTCGAAATTAACACCACACGATCACTCGGTGATGATTTGGCGGTGGCGCATGGACCGAGTCTTTGTCTCCCCTGCTCTGGACTTCTCTCTGCGTGAGTAGACGGCGGAACCTCTGTTCTCTGTGCTCAGTTGTTCTGCCTTCTCTATGTTTGCTCGCCGACGCAGCCAGTGACGAAGATGATTGGCTCTGAATATCTTGATTCTCGCTCAGTCTGCGTGCTTATTCTTTAACCTGCTATTTTTACTGAGGATGTGCTCTCTCGGCCTCTGTTGCTTTAATGTTTTGAGTGCTATGTTGCAATCACCGATCGTGGGGGGGGAAGCGTGCTTAGTCAGGCGCCGTGATCGCGGCGAATCACCTCCACTGGCTCGGACCGACAGCAAACCTGACGCCTGCGAGTTCTGTTCTTTTAGCTGGCAGCAGTAACCCGTCGAACGGAAGAACCCTAACCCTCACTCCGTCGACTCTTTCACTGCGTGAAACGGATGGTCGATGCCTTCAGGCTCTGATACCGCTGTTGGATCTCGAAAAGAGAGAATAGAGATGATGATTTTCAGCTTTTTGTGAAGAGAAGCACCGGAAAAACTGAGCACAATCAGTGCTAAGAACTTTCTTAGCAGAAGCTAAGGGCTTACACGGTCTTCTTCTTATTCGGAAACATACAGAAGGAACTCTCTCTCTCTCTCTATCTCTACTTCTTTTATTTGCTGAAGAAGATGGACCCTGCCATCCATGATGAAGGATTTATATAGCCGGGGAGAGTTCGATGCCGTTGACGAGAGGAGTCTTGGAGTCGATCGGAAACCTCGCTTGATGAGGACTGTTGAGATTGGATAAATCTTTGAGCAGGTCGGAGGCGGATAGAGCGAAGAGTCTGGATAATCACCAAATTTGATGAGGCTTCCAACTTGACTAAACATGATTTTATTGGATCCGTATCTTTGAGAGCTCTTGGGCAGTCACGAAACATGATTTGAAGACTTCATATTTTTTATTTTGATCTGTGCATTCGTGTGACATAGGAGTTGGCCATTTCCTTTCTCAGGAGCAAATGCTAGTTGATTGCTACGATTGAACCACAACAATTGAGTATATGAACACCTGTTTATAAATTATATAGTTTATGATTGCTGATGTGATGTGAACAAAACCTTTAAGGCTGTGTTTGGAGCTTGGATTTATGGAGGAAAGGAAATGGTGAAAGAAGTGATGGGAAAAGATATTATGGTATAAGAAGATGATTTTTTCTATTTTGTTTTATTCCAATTTTTTATTGGGGTGGGAAGATGGGAAGAAAATGAATAAATAATTCAAAAGAATCACTTCTGTTTACTAGAAGATAAGAAGGTGCATGTATGAGTAATTTGATTTCTTTTCCTTCCTTAATTCTTGACCCCAGATACAGCATTAGAGTTCCAAATATCATGCTGTTAGCCTTCTTTATCAGAGTAATGTTGACAAGGTAATGTATGAGTAATTTGATTTCTTTTCCTTCCTGAAATTCTTGACCCCAGATGCAGCATTAGGGTTCTAGGTATCATGCGGCTAGCCTTCTTTATCGAAGTAATGTTGACAAGGTAAATACTTTAATGACAATTCCATTCAGCTACTTGAAAAGAAATTCATGCCACGTGTAAATGCACTATTAAAAACTGGATTCTAGATGCTTGGTTATAAAATGATTACTTCTCTTGTTTTAATCTTGAGCTGAGCAGGGACCTGACTTGTACAAACTTCTGAAGCAATGCAGTTGCCCAACTCTTGGATATGTTTTTCTTCATCCTCAACCGCTTTGATCTTTTCCTTGCTGCTTGTCTTGTTTGGTGTTGCCCAAGCTGTCATAAGGTTGCCACCCAATATAACATTTCCAGCTGTCTTCGTGTTTGGGGATTCAATAGTCGACACGGGCAACAACAACAATCTTAAAACAATAGCCAAGGCCAACCATCCTCCTTACGGGAAAGATTTTATGGGTGGAAAACCAACAGGAAGGTTTTCCAATGGAAGGGTTACCGCAGACTTCATTGGTACGTGTTTGAGATATTGAAAATTCTCCTTTCTTTTTCTTTGCAACCAAGCCCTCACTTTGTTTTACATGACACTTTAGCGGAGGAACTGGGAATTAAAGAGCTCTTGCCAGCTTATCTAGACCCAAGTCTGCAAACAGAAGATCTGACCACCGGGTGAACTTTGCTTCTGCAGCAGCAGGATATGATCCTCTAACATCTCAGATTTCCGTACAATTTTTCTATATAGGAGCTCATACATTCTTTTTCACGAGATTCATTTCTCTATCAACTCCTTGTTAATCATTTTTTTCCTTTTTTTTTTTTTTTTGGGTTTTAAAACTCCCAATTCAGAATGTTATATCATTGTCAGGTCAGCTCGATTTGTTTAAAGAATACACAGCAAAGTTGAAGGGGCTTGTTGGAGGTGAGAGAACAAGCACAATTCTTAACAACAGCGTATTTTTAGTGGTAGCAGGAAGCAATGACCTCGCAAATACATACTTCACTCTACGGAGAGAACAGTATGATGTCCCTTCGTATGTTGATCTTATCGTCAGATTGGCTTCAGACTTCGTGAAGGTAGCTGTTTCAACTCAGTTCAAGATTCATTTTTCCAATACAGTTCAATTTGCTGATATCTTTCCATTTTTTGAAGGAGTTGTATGGATTGGGTGCACGAAGGATCGCTGTTTTTGGCTCACCGCCTGGGGATGCACCCCAGCGCGGCGAACTTTGTCAGGAGGGCCACAAAGGAACTGTGCAGAAGATTTCAACCAGGCAGCAGAATTGTTCAATACACGGCTATCAGAGAAGCTCAGCTCCCTTAACAGCAACTTCCCAGATGCGAGGATGGTCTATATTGATGGATACACCCTACCTCTCGATATCATTCTCAATCCTCAAAAATATGGTAATTAATCTGTCGATTGCTATTAGGATTTGGAAAGTTGTTTTGAGAAAATTAAATGGATAAATTGCGCTAGTGGTCTCTTTTGTTATATACAAATTCATTTTGGTCGCTACATTTTCCTTCGTAAAATGTTAAATCCCAGGATCTGATATGGCAACATATTTGGTCTCTTCAAGATATGATTTCTATTTCTCCAATCCCGCTTGTTTCTAAACCATCTCTTTAGTTAAGTCATAAGACATTGAGGTTCTTTTTTACCAACCAAGTTAGTTTTGGCCTGCCTCTGCCCACATTATTACCTTGAATAGAAATTTTAGTAACAAGAGCATTTAGAGGTCGAAAGCAAGATTTAGGTGAAACTTTGGGGGACTAGAAATGTAATATTTCCAAAAGAAATGAATTAATGTAATCAGCTTAATTTTTGTTTTCCTTTTGGGAGTTTGGACTTGCTGTTGCAGGATTTGAGGTTGCGGATAGAGGTGCTGTGGCACAGGGCTTATAGAAGTGGTAATTCTGTGTGAGGCTTCTTCATTCACCTGTCCAGATAGTTCCACGTACGTGTTTTGGGACAGTTATCATCCCACGGAGAGGCTACACCAGCTCCTAGTCCAATCACTCCTGAAGGAAAATATCAACAAATTCCTCTGAGAGCACCGGAGGAAAATTAAATTTACCGAAAATAAAAAGATGCAGAAAATTAAGTTTTTTTTTTTTTTTTTCCTGTTTGATCTGGGACTTGTTATTGAAAGTTTGGTATAGCATTAAATATGTTGAAACGGTGAAAGCGCAGTTGTCATTCTTGTGATAAATTGGACATGGTTCCCGCTGTAGCAGGGTAATTATAATCAGTGTTGTAGCAATGATCAGATCCGTGAAGTCTGCTATGTGGACCTTGAAGAATGCGGTGGAAGGAAGCTGGGAGTCAGGCAGTTGAATTTCATTTGATGCTATGGCAGCATTTAGCAAATCAATAAAAAAAATGCTATGTATTCTAATTTAAAATAAATTTATTTTATTTTTTATTTTTTATTTTTTAAAATTTAAAAATAAATAAAAAATAATTTAATTTTTTTAATTTAAAAACTGTTTTTCTTTGTTTGATTAAATATGAAAAAAAATAAAAATTAAAAATTAAGAAATTAGAATACATAGTACTTTTTTATTAATTTATTAAGTATTATTTTATTAAAACAGTATCTATCATCAAATAAATTGTAGTTAAACATAAACTGTAGTTGAACGTTGCAAGAAGCGGCAGCTGTATGTATGCTATGGGAATAGATATCCAATTTGCCAAAAACGAAGTCTTCGTATGCTATCGGTTGTTAGTTGCCTATTTAATAATTAAGATAGAGTGGTTCGCCATTTAATTATTCAAATCGGATTTTCGTTTCAGTTATTTTCATTTTTTTGTTCAAATGGGTGGAAGAGTTTTGTCAGAAAACAACATTCTGTCCGGTCACATCAACCCCATTTCGGTTCAGTGGCACATAATGCAACGGTTGGCCCAATTCACTTGGTTAAATAGGTCTGTTTTATAGAAATGGCTCGGCTAGTTCCTCCTCCAGCTTGTACATGGGAATTAGGAAGTTGAAGTTTTAATTCTTCAGTGCATTTCTCTTTTAAGTTTGTTAAATTATGAGGCTATCCGATTTGTACTAGAGTTACTCAATGTTTTTGATTTTAACAAGATGATTAAGGTTTTTAAATGATCATTTGAAATGAATTATTCAAGGCTGTGATTTTGACACTTTACAACTATCTTCGATTTAAACCTTGTAAGAGGGAGTTATAACTACTCTCCATGCTTCAAACGGAGGGGAACATGACTACGTGGCCTCTCTAAGCTTTGGTACGTGGTATGGGCTGCCTTAATTTTTTTTTTTTTTTTTTTTTTCTGGGGACAATGTATGGTTCCTTCGTAAGTATGCCGGCCTACCTGACAGGGCCGGCTGGGGCAATAACTCAAAATGTGGAGCCCACTTTTTCCTTTTCTTTTTATCAAAGAAATTTTTTAAATAAATAATAAATAGAATCAGTCAAGCCATTACAAGTTAGGAGGCATTTGACAATGAGATAAAGCTAATAAAAATAAAATTATCAGTCTTATCCTATTTTATCACGCGTTCATTATGCGTGTAACAGAATCACATAAAATTCTGAACAGAAAGCTTATTAGTGTACAGTTGTAAATTTTATCTGGGGTTGTTAGTGTGAGAAGTTTTATCACATGTGATAATTTTTTTTTGGATGTTTTTGCCCCTCTGCGCAATCCACCTTTCAGCGTCACAAGCGGATCTACGTGCAGGCGCCAGAGCTCACACAAGCGCTCAATCTGCGGGCGCTTGCGTGAGCAAGCCATCTACCGACGCCACCCATGCAAGCGCCCGATCTGCCAACACGCAGGCAGATTTGCATGTAGGCACATCTGCCGACGCTGCTCACACAAGCGCATCTATGCGAAAGCACATCAGCGGGGGCCTACATGAGTAGGCCCATCACGCAAGCACTAGACGCAGGCAGATCTGTCATGCAAACACTTGGGAGAAGGAAGGCTAGTCGCCTACGTGAGTAGCCTTATAGTCATCAGAGAGGAGAAAGAAGGCCAGTTGCTAGCTGGCAAGGAGAGGGAAGGTCAGTCACCAGATAGGAGAGGGAAGGTGAAGCCTTTGAGGGAATGGGCAATTTGGTAATTTTATTTTTTATCTGATTTATTATCTGAATTGTTATTAAGCCAACTGAATATGTGATAAAAATATAATTACTGTAAAAACTACTTTTCTAATCAATTTATATCTTATCTCTCAAAATGAATGCTTTCAGTATGATAAGGTAAATGTAATAACCCGTTATTATTATTATTATTATTTTTTTTTTTTAAAAAAAGGAAATTGCCGAAGAACCCAGAACCCGGCCGAACCATCCGGGTGACTTTTGTTTTTTGCTCCAATAAAATTCACACAACTCAAAAGTAATTTGATAACTTTTTAGATAAAACCAAAACGAAGCTGGGCATTTAGAATTGATCAGAAAACTTGAGAGAAAACGAAAGAATAAATCAACCGGGGAGCCGCGGCACTGGCAAGGAATTTCGGGAAGCATCCAGGTAATAAATCAATTTTTTATTCTGATTAGATTTAGTTATGGGTTTCGGATTTCATGGGACTAGGACTGGGATGCTTCAATCCAATTTAAAAATGTAGAAATGGGGATTAAATGGAGTTGGGTGTTCAGATTTCAGGGAATTACAGAACCCGGCTGTTTCGCCCAGGTTTCCGGGCGGAAGGGACAGACCCGGACGTTGTCCGGGTCTGGCCATCTTGGGCCGGTCCAGTCCAGCCCTGTTGGGCTGGACCCTGCATGTTCAGGGGCCTTTTGGCCCCAATCCAGGAATCAAGCCCGGTTCCCGGTCCAGGGAAGAGAGGGGAATATTTTTGGACAGGTTTCGGGGTTGGAACCAGTTCGGTTCAGAGGGATTTTGGAGAAAAATAATTAAATCGGCCGATTTTTGTTGTTTTTGGGCCGGTTCAGTCCGGGTCTTGATAGTTAAAGGTCGGTTCTTCATGGGTTAAGAGAGGGAAAACCCGGTTCACCCTGGTTTTGGGGATTTGAGCCCGATTCGGCTCGGTTTACAGGAAATGGGCTCGGTTTAGCCCAGTTGGGTAGAGTTTGGCTGCGTTTAATTTCGATTTAGCAGTTTAAGATTAGAGTGGTTTGGGTATGAGGTTTAGAGGTCTCGGGATGCGTGTTTAGGGCCGGTGATGGGGGAGGTCCCAGCCCATTTAGAGAGTTGAGTCTTTTTAGAATGAGACCTGATTTCGATTCTAACTTTCGACTTGATGATTGTAGATACTCCGGAGGAGACGCATCTCGAGCAGTGAGCCGTCGACACGAGTTTTGGTACCTCGTTTAGCGTGCCAGGTGAGTGACAGTATTTTCTATACAAGCATCTGTATATCGATTTTCTGACAAATTCTTAGGTTTTGATTCCTGGATTTGATTTCTGATTTCTGATATTCGAATTCGGGACATGTATCTATATGTTTTAAATTATGATGAATTTTGTAACATTTCTGTATTTATACATTTGTGTGCCTCAGTCATGCATGTGATTTAAAAGGTTACCTGTCGAGAGTTTTTGTGATCCGATTTCTGAGGAACACGGGGGTGTTCCGGCACTATGTGCCATCTGTGATTTCTGACTTTGGTTCTGATACGGGATCCCGATATGATATGATTTCTGATGAGATCCGATACTCCGACGGGTGTTTGACATTCTATTTCTGATTCTGATGTGTGAATGACATGCTTATATATGTGCCTGTGTATATTATACGAACATATGTGGATTTTGTAAACTGTGATCCATGTCCCGTCTTGTCTAGATTTTACTGTTGTTCACTGAGTTTTATACTCATTCCATTCCTCCCCCTTTCAGATTGTTGTTTCGATTGCAGCGGTAGTTTCTGGATCGATTTTGTCCTCCGTTGCTTTACAGTGATGTACGGGCATTTTTGTGTATCATTTCTATTACTTGTATTTTAGAAACTCCTTGTATTCCTCAGATACTTTTGACGTACATATATACACTTTCATTTCGGTACTTTTGCTGCTGCGATACTTTCTGCTTTGACTTATTCATAGGCTGACTGGGGTTGGCAAGCTAACCCCAGTGCCGGTCACGCTCCCAGGTCGGGGCGTGACAGTAAACCCGGTGCAATTGACTTTGGGTGCGCATCCACTAGGACAGCACACCTAAAACCCATTGGATCCGAGCCCCTTGCATGATCTACAAAGAGTGTGTCTAAATCCAATGACCCCTAAGTGCGCTGTCCTAGTGGGTGTGCACCTAGAGTCAACTAAACCAGTAAACCCATGACAAAAGACAAAAGCCTAACTTATGACCCACAAGTTGGTTCGGGTGAATCATAGAGGACCCACAAAATGTCGGGTCTAGTACCTAGTTCGCTAGTCTCGATCATTTCGAGGGTTACCCCATTGCCGACCGAGCCCGATTGCTCTCGGTGTCCTCGCTCCTTCCGTCGTTGCCGCTCTTTCCTTTTAAATCCAATTGGAGGGTTGTTTCGTATCTTTTATCCGTTAGGGTTTTCACTCCGCAGCTCCCTCGATTCGCTCGCCTTCCACCGGCGAGGGTTCAGAATGGATCCGTTAGCTTCGGCGGTCAATAAACTGGAAGGATTTGCGAAATCGACACAAGATTTCGCTGACAGCGTCTTCCGCTGGCGCGAGGATTCCAAACGACGCAATCCGGTACTCCTCTCTTTTTCTGTTACTAGTTTCAGAAATTCGAGATTTCTGATAAATAGCTAAGTGTTGGTATATTTGTACACTTCTTGTGTGTTCTATATCTGAATTTTATCTTGCTGTGATTGACGAAGGATAGTTCTCTTTGTATGCCTCTAGTCTTTCCCTCTGCTCGTTGGGCCGTTGGTAGTGTTTATGTGTGAGGTAGTCTGCAGTATTGTCATCCATAACTTCTGTCTTCTTTCGATTTGTCCTGGTGCATGTTTGTGTTGGTTTCCCTTGGACCTCCCTACCTGTAAGATTCGAGAAACTCAATTTTCTTGCTGCGAAATGTGTTTCTGCGTGCGAACATACGCACAGTGGAAAATTCTTCTAGTGTTTTTGTTGATTTTATTTATTAATGTATTTTACCTTTTTGGTCCTTGTTGTGTTTTCTGCAAACTCATGCTAGTGTCGTAATTTGCAACCAAGACTGCTATTTCACTGTTGTGGTTTGGCCCTGGACTGCCAGTAGAAGTTGCAACAGGGGAATTATGGGTTTAGAGTGGAGGTTGGTTGTATTGTAGATTTATAATACCTAAATTCTAGAATGTTTCCTTTATCAGTCAATATTAGCTTGAGTTTACCATCAGTTATCAGTAGTGCTACGAATGTAGCTTGTAGTTTCCACTGTGTGTCATTACGCAGAAACCAAATATCATGGTTTATATGGTTGATTACATTTCATACCATTATAGGCTTGAGCACAAGAATTCTAGCCAATGACCATAGTAGATTCATGAAAAGCTCATATCTTAGCACCTTTTAAGGGTTTGAAGGGAAAAATTTTTTAATGCTAGTGCTGCCATTAGGGGTTTGTGATATGAGTTCAGCAAATATAGGCAAATATTATTTTAATGAGTTTTGTTCTTGATAAGCAATAGGCTATGAAGTGCAGGTTTTCGATTAACTCTTCCTCATCATCACTTGAACAGAGTTTCTTTTAGGAAACACAACTCATTTGGTTGTATACATCGTTGACATCTGCATTGTGTAGGCTTCTTCTCTCAATGCATATCAAACTAATATTCCCACCTGAAATTGTTTAGCCTATTTAGCAACTTTTTTTAGCCTAAAGATTATTTATTAACTATATTATCTCTTTAATCAAACTTGAGAAATCTTTTTCAGCTTGATTTGCTGGCATTGTGTGCAGGAGTCAGTTTGGATTAGAGTTTATTATGACTTTTTACTCTCTTTCTGTCCATCAATTCTCTAATTGTTACCAACATGATAATTTGTGGGCATTCCAGTCTAGTTTTTCAATTCTCATTGTATTTAAAACAGTTTTGACTTACACCTCAAACTGTTAGGACAGTTCTTTTTCTAATCATCAGAATAGTATATCTTGAGCAGTATTGAGTTTGCAAAGTTGCTGCATTCATAGGTAGCAAAAAAGCTGTATGAAGGGGCTTTACAACTTTTCCCATGATATGATTTTTAGATTGAAATCTTGAAGCGATTGCAACGAGAAGCATTTTCAGATCTCATGAAACTCAGAGACAGACAAGACAAGGTGGAACGAGTGCTTACCTTATATAAGTCTTCAAAGGGAAGTCCATTCCAAGAAGCGACCACCCATGTGAGGGGGGATTTTGATGTTTTGGGGGCCCTACTAATGATGGATAATGTTGAACAGCATAATTATGACGCAATAAGGAAAGCTGGAATTAGAACAGGTGTTCATCCAAGGCTTATTTTTGAAACCACAATTCGGCAGAATGATACTTTAGTGACTGAGTTTGCTGCTAGTGGAAAAGATCAAGATGATGGTTTAGGTAGGCCGCTTTCCTTAACCAAAGTATTCTATGCTGCAAATGTCAGTGATTGGTTCTCTGTGGTTGCAATTCCAGTCGGAGCTCATTGCCATGATATTGGACTTGCGACAAATTCTCCTCAAGAGGTATAAATTATCAGACCTTTTCTCTCTTCTTTTCGTTTCTTTTATATTATTTGCTTAACAGTTGTTCCACTAGATTTGTGTGAATTCCAGGGTATTTATACTCTCCAACTTGCCACTCTGACTTGAGTGACGGGATGAGCTTGCATTTTATGTAGTTTCTTCTGTATTTAATATGATCTCCCATCATCGCATATGCCACTAACATATGCATTGTTTTTCACTGCAAGATTTAGCTGAAGAGGGTGAGACGAAAATAGGAATTTCATCCTACCTGAATGTCCACCTGTGCTTGATTGGATGGACCTTTCTCTACACTTGATTGACTAACCCAATAGACCACGCTAAGAAATATCAGAGCTCTTCCTTTATGTAGAAAAAAAACAATTTTAATATTCCAAATCATATAACCTTAACAAGCCCCTGTCCTTGTGGGACTTAAGCAACCATTTATTTGTTGGGCATAAATTGCCAAATAAATTAAATTAACTGAGAAAAGGTCTGGGTTCATTATTAATCTTGATTTAAGGATCTTGACCCTTTCTAGGATCTGTATTTTCTTGCATTATTATGGTGATTATTTGTTGATTGTGGAGGATGTCTGGCTCCTCCTTTCTTGCTTCACCTTTAAATCTGGTTCTCTGACTGGTGGACCAGGTTTCCGTATTCATCAAACCAAAGTAACGTGTATATTTGATTCGATGTTAATTATTTTGTAATGCATGATTTACCTTTCATCTGACCTGGATCATATTTCACTTCAAATTAACTAGCCAGATTTAATCTTTTCGTGGATTTACTATGACTATTTGCAGAGAAGGGGCCTTACCAATTATTCATTGTCAGGACCACCTTTATTGAATCAACATAACGGTAGCGGCATTGGCATAACTGTAAGAAAATCAAATTTTCTTGCTTCATTGGCTCAGTTTGTCAGTGTACTAAGTTTGCAGCCTGGTTCTGATGGATTTTCAAGATATTTCAGCACTTTTGGACAAGTTGTCTGTCAAATTTCTAGAAGCACAAAAATTTCCCTTCAAGGCGTGCACAAAGGGTCTCAATTACCGAGTCAGAAAGTCAATCTTGGAGCCTTAGCCATGCCAGTAGGCATTTTCAAACGCAACAAAGTTCCTGAAACAGCTTTGGAGGAATCTGTTCAACCGGTAGGGACTATGACAGCAGAAAATGACTCCAGAGGTTCCATAGCTCTAATGCTGGAGTCTGAGCTAGATGAGAGTGCTAGAATTGGAGGTTGGCTTGAGATGAAAAGATCTAATGCCAAATGTCTACAGTGGGCTGTTTCAATGCGTGACACTCCTGAAGATGATTTTGGATGGGGTTTGAGTTTGGGTGGATCTATGCAAGGTCCCAAAAGTTGGGAACATTTTCAGGTTGAAAGTTTTCTAAACTTCAACTTTGGTAAAAGATTCAGCTTGCAGCCTGCTCTTGTATATGTAATGGACAGGACTACCCAATTTCCCGTCCTCTTGCTTCGGTCTAGTTGGTCCCTATAATCTCCCCTTCTATAAAATTTTCGGTTGGGCTGACCTCTTTTATGCGATTCTGAAGCAAAGAAGAAGCCCTAGATAGTATTTGTATCAAAATTTCACCCAGGTTTGGACGCTGGTGGCGTGGTATATCTAATTGTGATAAAGTGGGGCGTTATTTATCGCTTTGTTATTTGCCGCGTTGAAACATTCTTGAAAGGACTGGTATCCATTAAGTAGCTTAAACCACTAAGGTGGTTGATATAAAGTCCTTTGAAAAGAGTGCTTAATGTGAAAAATAAGCAATAATTTTTGGAATTTAAATGGAGGAAGGTGTACATATAATTATAGACAGGCTGTTAATAAGGAACTATAGGTGAAATCCAAAATATTAGAATTTTGTTGATCTTCTTCTATTTTTTATTTTTTCAGCCTACCAAATGGGTTAGAATAGAAAAGATAAGCAATTGAAAGTGGGTGCTTTAAACAAAATTAATTCACCACTTATTTATATTGATTTTGTACCATCGAGTACAGTATTCTGTATTTTTTGAGGATACACTTTTTTAATGTCTAAACTGCCTCCCGTGCATGTATTATGGATGTGTCTACATCGAATCTTCTGTCTTGAAAGGCAGGAAAGTGAGGAAAATACTGAGAGGATCTGCGTGCAAGTCCCAAATCTGTATACAGAGAGCCCTTCGGAAATGAAGATGAGGCGCTGAAGAGTAATCTTTCTTGTTCTTATCCGAACTTGTCATTTCATGAAGCAATTAAAGAGAAACAAAATGCTAAGACTTGAACTGCCACAAATCACAGGATAACATGGATATGGGTCTATCTGAAGTGATTTAATATCTGGTTAGGTCAGAGGTAATGCTGCAAGCTCTTTGTCAGCAAAGGCTTCACCTCTTCCATGCAGCAAATGGATATAACTTGCTTTGTGTTATAGCATATATTTCTAATTAGCCCCTTACAAGCATTTAGAGTTAGTTATTGAATGATATTCTGCAAATAATATATCCAAGTATATGGCTACACTAGATTTTCCATGATGATTGCAATGAAACCATGGTTTTACCTGCTGAATGCAGCAATGCGCATGCTGCAGAAAAAGCTGACTACTGAATTGCACAATTGCTCATAAGAGCTTTTGTTGCCACAATTTTTTCTAACTTGGTCTCTCTTTGGCTCCCGTTTAGCAGACTATCTGAATTCAAGGGCTTATTGGACCTGCTCTGCCAAACTGTTGTAAACATAATGAGGGGAATTCGTTAATCTTTATATGATTTGAGATAAAATCTTCCAAACATCTCTCTCAAAATCATGAACGGTCCAAATCTACTTAATTGCACTCCTGAAATGGAACCAACCCCAATTTCAGACAAAAGCCATTCAACATAATGTTGGGGGCGAGAGACCTCCACGTGGTCTAAGCACACGGAAAAGACGTAATGATCTAATTATATCATGTAAACACCGTATAAGGAAAATACAAAAAAATATCAATGATAAAGAATAACAAGATTTATATGGTTTGATGCAAAAAAACAAAAAAAGGCTCTATTGATGGTCAGTTTAAGTCTATTATTCACTATAAGAGTAAATTACATATAACAAGATAATGATTTAATATTTATTTTCTAAACCTAATCTAGAAACCTTTGTATGCTTCTCACAGCCCAAATAACCCCTCTTAACTCTTTCTTTCCATCTATTTTTGTGCTTTTAGAAACACAAAAATGGAAACATAAAGCAAATGGTAAAAGCCAATAAACAAATCCAAGCATAGTAATTATCCTACCTGAAACAAAACTAACAGGAAATTTCTACTGTTGATGCTGCAGGGGACCAATACGAGAGGGTGAAGAAGGTTGATGCAATTGACAAAGAGAATTTAACCTACTGCTAGCATTATTCAAGGCAATTCTCTCATGGGTGTGTTTGTACCCATCTCTTAAGAGATCAAGGTACAGCCTTTCCCGAAGGAGGATGGGCTTGCAAGAACATCAAATATCACTTTAAGATTGATGTCCACGTGATGGAAGAGAAGATGAAGAGTAGGAAAGAAAAGAGCTCAGACATGTTTAAGGTTGTTGAGATCTATCTCTTGGCCAGTACTAATGCCTAGAACTATAAACACAATTACAAACATAAGCAAAACAGAAAAGATACTTACACAATACAAACACTAGCACAAAAATATTAAGACAAAAACAAAAAAGACAAATACAATCATAAACATAAACATAAAAGATACACAAAATCAAATAATACAAATAGTACAAACACAAAAAATACTTCACAATATCAAATTATACATACACTACAAATACAAGCACAATTACAAATACAAAAAACCCTTATACAAAATTATATGGCATATACTCTACAAAAATTAGCATAAACATAAATATAAAACACACCTAAAATCAAATAACACATATTTTATAACACAAAAAATATTAATACTGATACAAAAATAAACACAAACACCACAATAAACACAAATACAAACCATAAAAATAAGAAATAATTAACTTACACTAGTATAAACACTGGCACACAAACACTAAGGTAAACATAAAATCAAATAACACATATTTTAAAAATATAAGCAAAAAATACAAACACAAGAAATTCTAACTCAAAATCAAAAAACCTATATATTATAAATGTAAGCACAAATACAAACATGAAACATTTGTACAAAATCAAATAATTTATACACTACAAATGCAAGAACAAATATAAATACAAGAACCACTTACATTAAATCAAATAAAACATACATCATAACTGAAAGCATAAACACAAACATTAAGGCAAACACCAAGCAAATAAAACATACACCATTTTCCTGAGTACAAACACAAAACAAAAATAAAACACAAAAGATAAATGCAAGCACAAACAAATACACAAATTATACTTGTATAAAATCAAATATTTCATATACTACAAAAACAAGCACAAACATAATACCAAGATTCTTACACAAAATCAAATAACATATATATTACAAATACTAGACTTAAAAACAAATATTACCTCAAAAATAAAAAACACTTGCACTAAAACAAATAATGAAACATACAAGCACAAGCACAAGCACAAACCCTAAACACTAGTGTCAACAAATTAGAAATAATAGTGTTACAAAACACTAGTGTTAATGTTATTCTAAGTGTTTGCTTCATGGAACGCTAGTAATTGTAGTAATGTTAAAATTGTATCACAAAACACTATTGTAGTGTTAGTTCTAAATGTTTATATCCTAAAAAGTACTAGTTATAGCATTAGTATCATGAAAAACTCGTACTCATATTAATAGTTATACAAGTGTCACAAAACTATACAAAGAACAACATTTGTGTCAAATAAACACTAGTTTGAGTAAACCCTATAGCTCACGTCACATTAGCATTACTAACATTAAGACAAACACAAGTGCACAAACTCTAACAATAAAACATTGACATTAACAGTGATTACAAACTGAAAAATCAACACTAAAAATAATACAAATAACCACCACACATAATAAAAACAATTACCATAATATTGTTGCTAACACAAATACAAACACAAGGACAAATTAACATAAACGCATAATCAAAAAACACTTGCACTCCAAATACAAGCACAAAAGCAAAAAAGACACTTATCACCTAGTCAAAAGCACATATAAAAGTAAGAAAAGCACTTTTTCTCAGCAAACAACCTACGCTTCGGGGGATAGAGAATTAAAATGAAACAAAGAAACATTCACAAAGTTAAAGACCAAGTTTAAACAATATCTCAAAACAATAACATTTGAGAAAATATAGCATGACATATCCTAGAGTCCTCATAGCCTTTCAAGCATGAAAGGAAAACTAGAAGAATGTAAGAAAAGGATAAAAATGAGTCCCTAGCAGGAAAAGAAGGTGAGATATGGAAGAAAAATACATATAGAATTGAAAAACAAAATACAAATATAACTCCTGAAAAAATTTTGAAATCATAGAAAAGACTACAATTACAAATATCAGAATCATGAGAAGGTAAAAGGTGAACTGTAAAGCCAAAAGAAAGTAATAAAGGGACAGAAGTGCATATTTGTTTCAGATAATATAGAAAAAAGAGCAAGAGAAGCGTGTTCTTTTTGAATTGATGATTAGGATTATGACTATAATAACCTTGACCGAACCTTTTAGAGATGAGCAACTAGAAAAGCAACAGATGGTTGTGTTAGAGGATAACAATCACAACAATTATATAATTAAACTTCTATATTCATTTCTCTAGTAAGTTATTGCAAAAATAAATAAATTTTATTTCTTTCTCTCCAAAGTTCATACTAACTTCTATAGTCCTAACATTCTTTTTTATCTTTGTAGATTTGAATCAAACAGCTAATAGGAAAAAGAAAAAAGAAAAAAGAAAAAATGCCTCTTCTTGGATTTCAGAAAATGTGATAGTTTCAGTTAGTTTACTTAATTAGATAAACAAGAGCTTGCTTGAGTGTAGAAAGAAAAGAAAAGAGTGATAAACAACATTTTGTCCAAACAATATATTGTCCTCATTATTGACTATATTTTTTTATTTTTAGTTTTATTTTTTTGCCTTAGAATATGCTTCTTTGATTAGTTTTAATTACTCTGTAGGTGTGCAGATTTGGAGAAAAAGGAAGCATTGGTGTATATGTGGAAAGCTTCTTAATTGGGCTTTATTCAAATGATCTCATTTGGAGAGTGGAGGTGATAAAGAAGGTAAAATGAAGCTTACATTTCTTATAGTTTAACAATGGAGAAGAAGAATGAGTTTCCAAATCCAGATATGGCAAGTTTCCTAAAGTGGTTTTGGAAAGTTTACATTTTGGATATTTCATTGCCTTTTTGGACGAAGAAGTAGATGATAGGAGTTTTGGTGGTCAAATTGTGCAAATAAGATGCATATCGAGCTTACATTTTTATTTTTTTGGTTTTTAGACCGAGCAGTTGATCATTTGGATAAGAGAAAAATGCAGCCAAATCAATTTGGAA